TTTTTTTGCTGATATCCTGCAATATGCTGAAAATTTAATAGAACAATCATGAAAAACTTAAGAGCACGAACATGTTAAATGTTTTCATCATGACTATGAGTTCTACTTATGAGTTCGAACAGAGGATAGCAGTTGGAGAAGTTCCCTCAATATCTATTTGCTGATAAATAGGACAAAAAAAATGTTTGCTCATGTTTTTACTAGAGTCATACAAATTATATTTAAAAAACAAAACGATTAATATATTATCTAGTTTATATTCGATCAAAAGTTTTTTTTTCTCTGAGTTATTATTCAAATCATAACACAAAAACCAGGAAATATTTGATACTTTTTGAGAAAATATCTATATGAAAAAAATATATATCTTCACGAATTTTTAGGTGTAGTAACAGAAATTAGTGGTATGATTAGATGTTTTTTTAGTTTTACATTTGTTTCTTGTCGTTGTAACATTTCAGCAGCAGCATGATGAAAACCTGATTGATTAAATAAAAATGCACTAACATGTCCATGAGGAATATATCGAATATGAATACTAGGCTATATATCATTCATATGTGGAATACCATGATGTGTACAAGCAATAAACATAGCATTAGATATGTTTGATTGAAGTGAACATGAATAATTATATAAAGATGTAAATTCATCCATAAGAAGATGCATCATATCTTTAATAAGATCGAGAACAATTTTATTTGAGTCTATTGATCGATTTCGTTCACGTAAATAATCATAAAATGTTTGAGAGGCTTTATTTTCATAGAATTGTCGAGAAGGTGGATCAGGCCATCTAAAATATAAATATATACACAATGGCTACCAAAATTATTCAACTTTTACTCAATAAAAAACCGTCCTAGAGAGTTCAAGTACTAGACACTAAGAAATTAGGCTTTTAGGTTGTCTAAAAAAATTCTAACTTAGGGAATCAAATAATCAATGTTTTTAATTTATATTCTTTTTGTAATATGGTTTGCTCTACTTGAATCATTATTTGAAATTATGATAGATACTGTATATCCATTCATTAAATAGATCAAATAATAGAATTGAATGTTACTTTGTAAATGCTAATGAAGTCATATGTCCACCAAAAGAAAAACCATGTAGAATAACTGATGTTAACTTCATTTTTTGACACCAATGAAGTAGCATAAGTGTTTCTAAAACAAGTACTTCGCCCATGATATATAAATCGGTAATATACAATAATGATGAACGAGATTGATCTAGTGGTTTTCTTAAACCATAATATGGATTTTCAAGAAGAATTGAACCTATAGGATATTGATTAATTAATGGGACTGCAGTAAATAACCTTCGTCGGCTAAAACCTTGATCACGTGATAGAACAAGTTGAAAATGAGCTGTAGCTACTTGAGATGAAACCTATCTAAATAAATATAACAAAAGAAAAAAGATAATATTAATTAAATGATTAAAATGATTTTAATTACTTACCAAATATGGTAAATAATTGGCAAGTGGTGAACCAAATCGAGCATTTATATAATTTTGATTACCTTTTTGTTTCTTGTTTAATTATTTCAACAGTATTTTCCTGTACATTTTCAGCTGGTACAAGTTCTAAACACTCATCTCTTACACCAATTTTTTTCACGTCGACAGGTAAAAATTTCTTGTAAATGAAATGGATTT